CTGGTCATAATATGGCCAAAACAAACTATTTTGCTATGGAACAAAGTGGAGCAGTCTCAAGTGGCAAAATAGGCCCTAAATTCTCGCTCGGGTAAACAATCGAAAACAGGATTCCCTTTATCTTACCCACTCGCAGGACATTTAGACAGCCCACTTCAGGTTAATTCTGAACCTGAAATTTTTAATTGATAAAGTGACAATTCCAATACGATTGGTTTTATCATGTGACACCTGTTAGAATGTATGTTTACAAGTGCCCATTGCAGATCACGTGATGTTTGATCTTTTGCCTTGCGATTAACGAAGAATGTATGCAAAAAGTATGATTATCTCCAATTAAGCAATAGACTGTGAGAACTTCCTTTTTAGTCAGTGTAGGCTTGGCAGGACTAGCTAGATAGCCAAAAGCCCCACACCCGCCTTCCTCCCCCACCTACCCCCCATCCCCCTGGGCCAACCCCGTTTGCCTCCCCTGCTAGCCGCAATAAAAACATTCTAACATGACTCAGAGGCTCTTGGGTCAAAATTACAAAATTCAGACTCCACTAACACGAGATTTCATGAATGTGAAAACCTTTATTTAGGATGCGTCAGTCAGTCATCTGATGCAGATGTATCAGCAATGACATCCTTCTAGTAAAATACTAATATATGTTCTAAGCTAGAACTTGTACCATGCCAGATACGAAAAACCACTAAAAAGCCACCCTTGAGAAGTGGCCAAAAAATGTGCAGAAATGTGTTCCCCTACTAATGCTATGGTACGTAAAACCCCAGGGAAAAGAAATCAAGGCAAGATTTCTGTATAACCCCATACATTAATTATGCATACATCTATTATTCAAAGAGAACAAAACGAAAACTATCAGAAGGACAGAGCTGAAGTAGAATGGCACAAGTCTCGCGCCAAAACCATGAATAGCCCGATACTATCCCAGGAACACCAGAGCGCCTCTATACCGTGCCGTCAGAATATCAATTTCTGACAAATTCGTTCCCATGTTTCTCAATCGTCAAAAACTACATTTTTTCAGGAGTCCATTGTCTCACAATAGTCCAGTTTCGAATTGAAAATTACCGCTGAATATAAACATTAACGACACATTCATACAGGGTTAGCCTCGACGTAAAGTAAAATATTCAGAAATTCTGGCAAGCAAGTGTTTGAAATTTGAATATACACAAAAGACAGAGTAATAAACAGGTCTTTTTCTCGTTGGAATTTGTGAATATATTACTTCAGATTGAGGCTAAGGCTGTAAAAAAATGCGTCTTCACTTCTTAAATTCAGCGGTCATAGCGAACTCGAAAATGGACTATTCCCAGAAGAGACTTGAATACAAAGAAAACCAAACCAAATGTAGAAAAATGACCAGAAAGCCTCGGAGTCATGGTAGAATTTTAATATACCGAACGCAGGCTATTGGCATAAAATGGATTTACCTCTTATTTGTGTTAACCTAATAAAGGTTTAGGATAATTATGCGCGAAGATGAATATTAGAGTGCGGAAATAGAGCATTGCCCCCTAGTTTGTTAATCTTTTTTAATTAATGGTTCATCAGCTTTTTAATTTTCATAATCGTAGTTTCAGAATTCAAATTCAATTGTAACTTAAGTTTGTCTTTTATACATGTAATTTTTAGTTATTTCGTACATTACTTAGCCTAGTGAGTCCTGTAAATCAATTCTGAAAAACCCAATTGGGAGAATTAAAAAATGTATCATATTTTATTATATAGACACGAGTGTTTTACTGGAAAATATACCACTCGTAAAATTCATAAAAACTACATCCGGGACCCGAGTGGTTTATTTTCCATAATCTCACACGTGAGTTTATCGATGACTTCATTGAAATCAAGTTTGTCTCTTAAATTGTACTTGAATTCGTTGGTGTATCATCGAAACATCTTCGGGTCTTCCTCGAGAGTCTTCGGAAATCTTCGGACATCTTCGGAAATTTTCGGAAGTTCTCGGAAAATGGCCTTCGAACAATTTTGGAAAATCTTCGGAAATCTTCGGAAGGTGGTCGGAAATCTTCGGAAAATCATCAAAAACGCCGTCATCAGCATGTCTATATAATAAAAAGAACATTACACGGCGGCTTGAAGATATGAATTTTATTTTCGAGTGGCAAAACAATATTTTACGAACGAGCGCAGCGAGTGAGTAAAATATTGTTTATGCCACGAGAAAATAAAATTCATATCTTCGCGCCACCGTGTAATATCCTCTATGTATTGTACTGAAACTACAGTGGAACCTCGGTTTAACAAAGTGCCAAGGGACTGGGGAAATTTGTTCGTTATATCGAGGGTTCGTTATATCGAAAACCCGGATTTAACGAATTTTTTGGGAAAAAAAAAATCTTCGTTAATGAGTAATTTCCAACGCCCAGCATTTCAGGATCTGAACAATTTCTGTAATAGAGATTTTGTATGCGAAACTATTGTCTCAGTTCAGAGCTGTACATCATAGCTACGGCACTAGAAACACAAGAACAGGCTGACAACTACTGTACACATAAATTTTATCATCATTGATCTGTTTCGCATTCATCTTTAGCTATCTTTCGGTCACATGTTGACATGTTATATTTTCCGTTTCGTTTCTTTATTGTGTTCGTTATAAAGAGGATTTCGTAAAATCGAGGTTCCGTTCTATACATTTTATTGCACCTTCGGCCGGGTTGAAGAAAATCGTTCGTCATACCGAGGACGTTGTTATATAGAGGTTTGTTAAATCGAGGTTCCACTGTACAATGCGGGTAACGCAGGTAACTATTAGAGACCTTTAGATTCAAAGACGAGGACGACTACGAGTACGAGATTTGACTTTAAGTTTTTACGCGTATTCTCAAAATATAGACTCCTCACCGGTAACCTTCATTCTACCATTTTTCAATAGAAAAGTTAGCACTGTTATCTTTAGTGAAGGAGGTTACACCCTCTCCCGATCGCAAAATGATAATGACTTCTAACAGTTGAAAACTTGTTTCCACCACTTCGTATTCTCGCTAAGACTCGTAGTAGGGTGACGCCGGCTACCACGTTTTCCCTCCAAAATGACGCTGGTTTACGCGCGCTTGCTACTTAGTGCTGAGAAAATCTTGTACTCCATGTCGTATTCGTCTTAGAATCTAAAGTTCTCTAATAGCTTGTGCAAAAACCACCTTTTTAGCCTCTGTTCACACTAAACAGGATAAGCTATCGATACATCTCGTATAGAATGATCAGCAACGCGAGTACGGAACTTGAACAACTCGTTCACACACATCGAACATCGTACCAAAGCTGTTGACCGAGAGGGCTTGGTGAACTAAATCCCAGTCCTATCTCCCGAATATTTTTTTCCGTCTCCGTGGACTCCTGTCCTAGCTCCCAATTACTCACTCCCGTGATCCTCCCGTGACAGTCCGAACACCTCAGTGTTCACACTGCACCAAAGTATGGGACTGAATCTATCTCATATGTCACGTTCCACTTTCAAGATCAGTGCTCCGTTCCAGTAATTGCGCGGAAATCACCGTTCTTATGTGTGAACAGAGGCCCTATCCGGAATGGTTTTCGCGCCTGCGCAAGAGCTACCCGATATGGTGTGAAAATAGCCTTAGTTAGATCACAGGGTCCAGAGGAGATCTGTTTGTCGTTAGAACATCAAAACCCGTCGAAAACCTCTGAAAAAATGGGTTATTTTGATCGCGTTACAGTTTCGTTACACATTCTATAGACCGCAAACCAAGAGACTGAGGGCTCGCAAGATCGGCGAGGATATGGCTTGCAGTTATTGATTTTCAAAAGTCGATGTGGGTCAGATAAGAAACGAAGAATTCGTTTACAGTAGATTTATAAAGATCCCATTGGGCTAATTAATCGTGCTAAACGACAGGTACAGACATTTTTCAAAGTGAGACTTTAAATAAGTAATCCATTTATTCACACGAAACTCCTCTGGACCTGTGGTTAGATGCATCTCTACACAGATGAGCAGTTCCTTTCGGAGCACTTCAGGTGGCATTGTAATTATTATTTTAAAAGCAATATAAAATTTGTTTCTGAACAAGTTAGGGCGATACCGTTGAAGAGAGTATTGGTAACGACGAGCTTCAGCGCAACGAAGCGCTGCAACATTTTTGCGACCTTGTTTGGACTTTTTACACCATTATTGTCCTAGTAATTGTCGTTACAAAGCATTTCGTGTAACATCACCTTTACTCTAATACTATATATAAACAAATGTGCACAAGCTTTGACAATTAGAAATAAAATGTTCATCAACTACATATTAAAGCCGTCATGAACGAGCATGGGGTTGCCGACGGCAACATCTTGTCACTGTTTAATGATCCGTCATTGTGGCTGAAACGTTACTGAAAAATATAAAAAAGGAGACTTAGCTTAAATTACTGTCAGCAGTATTGTGTCTTCGCCACTATATATTTTTCAACCACATTGAATCCATTCTTCCTTGATTCACTCGGAAGAAATGCGTTAGGTTTAGAATGGGTCCTGACCATGGTCGAGTCACCATATCAATTCAGTAATAAATATGATAATTTTCACTGATTTCATAGCTAACAACGCAGCTACGCAACACAAATTTCTAAGAAGCTTGTCCACGGGAGTTATCCATAAGAAGTATACATTCGCTTAAAGGCTGATTTCCGTTTGATTCCCTTCATTTTAGTCGTGTGATTGTATACCACTGTATATCGTCTTTTTTGGATTTTGGCACGTCTGTGAAACCTGCAAGAGCAGTAGTTCCTTTGTTGGTGATTATTACATTTACTTCGTACAGCGTGATTCTCGTACTCTCCCCTGAATGAGGAATAACTATGGGTTCTTTGTCTCAGTTTTATTAGCAGACTTGCTTTTCTTTTACCTCGACTAGAAAATTAACACGTGATCATTATTTTACATTACCATGGAGCAAGAAACTCACCTTTGTTGGCCCAGAGTCAATGTCACGTCATCGCCAATCAGCATAAATGGCGCCCAGTGCTTCACAGCCTTGAAAAGTTTAGACTTCCGCATCCATTTCACGGCTTGGTGGAGGGACGTACTTGCGCTTTGCCCTGCCGCTAAATGTTCGTAAAAGACTTTCATAAACGCCAGAGTGGCCTTGTCGTCAATTGCCCACAGTAAAGCAATAACAGAACGTGCACCGGCTCCCAGAAAGGCACGTGCAATTCCAACCACGCCCTCGGAGTTGATCTCCCCTCTCCCACTGTTACAGCAGCTCAGGACAACAAGCTTGGCGCGCAATTTGGTGTTTAATACATCTGCCCTCGTCAAAAGAAAGTCTTCCTCTTTGGGCCTATCGGAACCAGGAAGATTAGGAGACAAGATAATTTCACCGGTTTCTTTACGACCATGAGCTGCAATGTGGACTAAGGACACTGAGTTGAGCCTGCTTAACACTTGATCTTTTGTGGCCTTCTTTCCAGTGAGGGGCTCAGTGTTAACTATCTGTCCAATCATTTTTACCTCTTCCTCGGCACCAGGGAGCTGCGAAAACGGTCTGCGGCCTTTAAGGCGCACAGTTTCCACCCACGGATTGCCAACAAGCAGAGCACCAGATGTACTCTGATACTTTTCCGGACACTCTGCCAAAAGCATTAAAATGTTAAAATTAAAATGCGAATTCTCAGCGTTTCAGACAAAAACCTGGAATGTTGGTCCACCAGGGCAGCATAAGGAATCAAAAAAGATGGACCATCGGGGACAATGATAAGCTCGTCACCTCTTATCAAGTGTGAAATCGGAGCAATCACTACGTCAGACAATGCTTTTAAATCTTCTTGCGATGACGTTGATTCTTTCTCTTCTGTACTAGCCCTATCAGGCAAGCCTTTCTTCTCTTCATCTAAAGGATCGTCCGAGAAGTGTTCCTCGCATCTGTAACTTCTCACGCCAATTTGTTTTTGTACGTTCTTCAAGCTGGTCAAGGTCTGATTGTGTTTTTTTTGCACAAACTGATACTGCTGTCCCTTCAGTAGTACCCAGAAATTCAACGTCTCGTAGTGTTCCGCCAGAAATATCGTTTATGATGAATTATGGCCTGAAATACGAGGCATTCTTTCTATTCGGTCTTCCGAAGATGACGGGGCCGATTTCACTCCATAGTTTGATTCCATAAGGTCCCTGAGAGCTCGTGCTCGTCCACGTTCAACTGTAAAAAGTGCCTCGGTGATCTTGCCTTTTGCTAAAGGAGGACACCATAAAGAAGAATAAATTTCATATCTTTCGTGAAAACTGATTTTCCATTCATCTTTTTCTGGAGATCCCTTATTTCTTCAAACACTTTTATGCTGGATTTAAAATGCTCCTCTGCTTTAGAGGAGTTACCGAGAGAAGCAAACACCGAACCTTGAGCCTCATTCGCAGATTCATGTAAGAGTTTGTTTTGATCTCTTTAGCTATGCTCAGAGCTTGCTGAAGGAATTCGATGCTGATGTTAAGCCCTTTTTTAGAAAACTGCGCTGCCTTTTCCAAGACACAGAGATTGTTATACACCCTACCAAGGCTTATATATGCGTATCCTTGTGCAGCTCTGCCTCCGGACTTTTTCGTAATGCTCAGACTTTTCTGCAAAAGCTCGATTGCTTTTTTGTAATCGCCCAGATTTCAATACAGTTCCCCAAGGTTGAAATACTCTTCACCCTCTGATAATCTATCTCCAATCAGTTTTGCGATACTAACTTTCTTCTGATGGAAATCGACTGCTTTTGAGACATCATAGAGATAATTATACGCAATACCAAGGTTCCCATACGCCCTTCCTTCTGACTCTTTGTCTCCGACCTCTTTAGCGATAGCTAGTCCTTGCTGAAAGAACTCGATTGCTTTTCTGAAATCACCGAGAGAGTCACAGTACACACAACCAAGCACGTTGTTACCCATTTTTTCTGATTTTTTATTTCCAATCTCTTTTGCGATACTTACATTCTTCTGATAGAACTCGACTGCTTTTGGGAAATCATAGAGAGAAGAACACGCACCACCAAGGTTCCAATACGCCCTCTCCGCTGTCTCTTTGTCTCCGACCTCTTTAGTGATTGTTAGACCGTGCTGATAGAACTCAATTGCTTTTCTGTAATCACCGCGGTAGTCATACATACTGCCAACATTGACGTATACCTTTTTTTCTAATTTTCTATTTCCAATCTCGTTTGCGATAGTGCCATTCTTCTGATAGAACTCGATTGCGTGAAACCACAGAGAGAAGAAGACACTTCACCAAGGTGCAAATACGCCTTTCCTTCTAACACGTTGTCCCCGATCTCTTTAGCGATAACTAGACCTTGCTGATTGAACTCGATTACTTCTCTGAAATCACAACGAGAGTTATCCAAACATCCAAGCTTGATGTAACCCATTGCTTCGGATTTTTTATTTCCAATCTCTTTTGCGATACTGACATTCTTCTGATAGAACTCGATTGTTTTTGGGAAATCATAGAGAGAAGAATACGCAATACCAAGGTTCCAATACGCCATTATTTCTGTCTCTTTGTTTTCGACCTCTTTAGCGATAGCTAGACCCTGCTGATGGAACTCGACTACTTTTCTGAAATCACCGCGGGAGGAATACACCCAGGCAAGGTTGATGTATCCCTCTTCTTCTGATTTTTTATCTTCAACCTCTTTAGCGACACTGACATTCTTCTCATAGAACTCGATTGCTTTTGAGAAATCATAAAGAGAAGAATACGCAATACCAAGGTTCCAATACGCCATTATTTCTGTCTCTTTGTCTCCGACCTCTTTAGCTATAGCTAGACCTTGCTGAAAGAACTCAATTGCTTTTCTGAAATCACCGAGGTCGTCACAGTTCACACCGCAAAGGTTGATGTATTCCACTTTTTCTGATTTTTTATTATTAATCTCTTTTGCGATACTGACCTTCTTCTGATAGAACTCGACTGCTTTTGGGAAATCATAGAGAGGAGAATACGCAATACCAAGATGTCCATGCGCCTTTCCTTCTGACTCTTTGTCTCCAACCTTTTAGCGATGACTAGATACCTTCTCTCTGATATTCAAACCATTTTATTAATTTGTAGAGTCAAGTAGACTCGTAATCGACCACAGCCACATAAGTGGCATCTGTATCTTGACTGCAGGTGTAGCAGTGAGCTGTAATGCACAAAGCCTTTACTTCGGAAGCATGATGCGTATTACTCGAATCACACCATGTTGGGCTGGGAAGTTTTGCTTGCGGAATCCGGAATCAGGGAAATGTCGCTTGTGTAATACAGAATTCTGGGTTTTAGAATTTGGAATCCAGCTCAAGGAATCCGGAATCCCACAAACGACTGGAATCCGAAATCCAAGTCCCAGTAAAAAAATGAGGAATCCCGTACTGGAATCCGGAAATCCACGGCGTGGGATCCAGAAACCAAGACCGTCTTGCATTTCCTTACATGCATGGGACGACTCGTAAATCCGAACTCAAAATCCACCTTGAAATCCACCTCGAAATCGTTTCTTCAAATCCTAACTCGGTAAATAGATCACCTCCTAACAAACAAATCTCTTTGTTTAATTTGTGCCATTATCAAACTGTGACTTTTTTCTGCAGTAATTTACATTTTTCAACCAAAGATGTCGACAATGATCTTTATGACCCTGACAATTGCGCTGTTTTACTCAGTGGAGCATGGTGGTACCATTCCTGCAGTTGGGCCAATCTAAATGGTTTGTATCGTCGAGGATCTTACAACACCAGCTACTTGCCCCACGGAGTAAAATGGGTCATGTTTAGAGGACAGTATTATTCTTTGAAACGCACTGTGAATGGAAGCGTGATAAAAGAAATGCAAGTTGATTCAGAGGGTGCGTGTAGGCGTCAATGTGTCATTGACGAGCAATGCCGCTCTTACAACTTTGGACTCAAGAAGCATAAAGCTGGGAATTTCCTGTGTCAGTTAAATGGTTGCGATAGATTTGTTGGTTTTGGTAACTTTACAAAAGATGACAATTTCAAGTACAGAGGAATGGAGGTAATTAACCATCAAAAGAGAAATACCTAGTTAAGGTGTTTCGATATAGTTTTTCAAAAGCCATACCGATATTTTTCAATCGCTTTAAAAGCGACTTTATCCTTGTCTGATAGCTATAAAAGTTGCACCAATGATTAACTATAGATTGAAATTTGGCAAAATGTAGGTTTTAGTAAAATCGATGTTACTATGACAACAATAAACAAAAAACTTTGAAATAGATAAAGCCGAATTTTGAGCGATCTAGACCAGCTACTGAAAATCCAACACTAGGAACTTAAAGTTTGGTAATTAGCAAATAACCTCCGTGAGAAGTAAAAAATTCTGAATGTTTGAATTCGATTAAAACGAAAATATAGTTCAGACCTTAAATTGTCAATAGCCGTGATAAATTATTTAATAAAACGTTATAAATGACACAAATTAAATTAAATTCTTAAGTAGCGTCAGAATGTTGCTTAATATCATATTTCGATGCCCGGAAATTTTGGTGTATTTTCGTTCTTGCAATCACTTAAAAACTAACCCGTTTTCTCAACACCTGTCTAAGTGCAACTTCATTCAAGATTTGGACTTTTAGCACTTTTTTGTATATCTCTAAAACGACTCGAACTAATTTTTTTAAAATCTCTTCACATAATCTTCATTATTATATGGCCGAGTCTGTTTTCGCCATGCGATTGGTCAATTTGCGGTCCGTAACTTGCTATACGGACCAAAATGTTTAAAGAAAAGGTTCATTTCGGAGCTCTAAGTCTCTTTACCTCGGAAAAAAGATTTAAATAAAGTTATAAGACGCCTGTCCACCTTGAAGACTTGGGTGTTGACTTTGGCCTTCAACATTTTAAACTGTGTTTATTTGTGAACAAAGGTGATGAAGAAACAGAAACTCATAACGGGTTGAACAACCCCTTATGAGTTTCTGAAAGAAACTAACTGGTAATCTTATCGACGAAGATTCTAGTCAGTGTTTGAAAATTTTATTGTAGTACACA